CAGCATTTTTCTGTCTATAAAATCAACCTCCTCAGTTCATTGGAAGATTTATTCTGTTTTATGCAACAAGTGTTTACTGGGTTCTAGAAACAAATAAAACCAATTAGGATAAACTTGAAGGTGTAGCTCAGCTCTTCTCCCCTACTCTCGACTCTTACCCTCCATGGTTCCAGCCTCCGTGGTTCTGTGGTGTTCTTGAACAAAGTCTCCTAGGAGCCTTTGGCCGCTAGGTCCTTCTCCAGCAGTTCCTGCTGCCTGGCATGTTCTTCCCCCAGTATTCACTTGCCACCACCCTCTCACCACGCCACTCAATCCCACTATCTACACCACCCTGCATGCTCATGAGTCCTCTTCCCTATCTCCTGAAGTATTCACCATTGTATTTTCACTTGTTTATTATGTTTACTGTTTGCATCTCCCTTCACTAGGAAGTTAGATCCACGAGGATCTTTTATTTAGTGAGTTAGTTCAAGGGCCCAGGAATAGTGACTGGCCCTTCGTTGATGTTCCATATATACTGGTTAAATGAGTGAAACTAGCTTCCTGAGCTCCCTCAGAGTGAGAGCTGAGTTTGCCTGAAGACATAGCCCAGGAACTTTCTGGATAAGTTTGTGATGATTCCCAGGGCCAATAGCTACCTGCCCAGGCTTAGAATTTTCCCCCAGATACAAAAGAATCCAGCCCAGACAAAATTCAGCAAACCCAAGGAAACATTCAGCCAAATTTCCTTCTCAAGGTTTCTACAAAGATCCTCATCTACAAGCAGGGGGTGTTGGGATTAGGACCTGAGGGGGCAGGGCTGTTGGTATTTTGAATGTTAAAAAGAAAGAGGAAATGGTTTGGGAAGTCCCCTATTAAGGTGAAAAAGGCAACTGTCAGTACATTAGGCTTTGGTTTAGGGACCCACCTGCACCTGGAATGAGGAAGCCCTATGCCCAGCTGGGGTGGGGCTGGGAGAGGAGAGGAAGATGACCAAGAGGAGCTGTGTTCTTGCTGGGCTTCTTCCCCATCTTCTCTTGGGGTGAGCTTCTCAGTGGATCACAGCTGCCAGACAGGGTCTCACAGAATGCACATCACTGTGGTGTCTCAAGCCTGTCCTTTCTCATCCAAAAATCTCTTAGGGGAAAATCCATTCTTTTATTTTATAAAGCAAGGAACTAAAGTTGAGTGGGGTGGAATGGGCTTGGTATATAGATCAATAGCATTCCTGAAACTGGGGTCCAAGATACCCACTCCAAGCACCAAATCATATCCCACATGGACCCCTGCAGCCTCTTCTGGGAGAGTCCCCTTCCCCTTCCCTGGGACACTTCTTCTTTCTAGGCAGCACAGCCTTTCATCCCCAAATGGGATAAAGTTCTAGAAGATAATGTCACCCCACAGGGCCAAGGATACCCCAGAGCTCTTGTTGACTGAGGCCCAAAGAACGCAAATAACTTCTATATTGCCACTAAGGACAGAGCTGGAAACAGACTTGGACCACATTTTGATGCAATTTCAAATTTCTTTCAACCTGAGGGTTTTTTTTTTTTTTTAAATACTAGGAGTTGAACCCAGGGGTACTTACCCACTGAGCTACATCCCCAGTCCCCTTTTTTTTCTTCCTTGTACATACATAACTATGGTTAAGTTTAATTTATGAATGAGGCACAGTCAGAAATTATCAATAAAACAGGACAATTGCAAAAATACACCATAAAAATCATGTGAATGTGTTATCTCTCAAGATACCTTACAGTACATTCACATTTGCACTAAGGCAAGCACCTCACAGTTCTCTGGCAGGTCTGAGCTGCCAGCAGGGCTGTTCTATGTTTTGGAGTCATTATTAAGTAAAATAAGGGGCTGAGGTTGTGGCTCAGTGGTACAGCACTTGCCTGGAACCTATGAGGCAGTGGGTTGGATCCTCAGCACCGCATAAAAATAAATAAACAAAATAAAGTTATTGTGTCCATTTACTACTAAAAAAAGAAAAAAGAAAAAAGAAAGAAAAGTAAAACGAGGGCCAAGCACTGTAATATGGCAACAGTCTGATGACCAAGATGCCTACTAGATGACCAACGGGGAGCACACAGTGTGGACACACTGGACAAAAAAACCTCCTATGCTTGGAGGGAGCCAAATGCAATTTAAAACATGCAACTTGTTTACTTCTGGTTTTGTTTTTTTTTTTAAGATCTCCAGGTCACGGTTGATTACTGGTAACTGGGACGTCAGAAATCTCAGATAAGGGATCACTGTACTTGAGGAGGGAGTAGATGGTCTGGATGGGTGGACGGTAGGTTCAGGTTCAAGGCCCATTGCATCAACAAGGAAACTGCACGAGGTGCACGCAAAGGGCTTAGTAGCTTTTAAGATGTTCATGTAGAACACGACCCTGAATCTTCAGATTACTGGCACAGGCGAAAACAGAAACAGGCTACAAGTCTTGGCAGGGAGCTAAGTCATATGACCCTAATTAATTCTATACTATGGTTTTAGGAAGGAAGAGGGACTGAGATGTCTTCTTGCAAGTGCAGGCTAGATATGGATGGGTAAGAGGCCAGAGATCAGTGCTCCAGGGAGAATAGGACTGCCTCCCCTTCCTCCATCGAGAAAGATGTTTCTAGATTCTATGAAGAAACAATGACACATCCGTGTGCAGTTGTCCCTTGCTATCTACGGGGCTGGCCCAGGACTCCCTCAAGGACACTAAATCCACAGGCACTAGAGTCCCTTCTATAAAACGGCATCCTATTTGCACAGAACTGATAACAACCTCCCGCACACCTTAAATCCTCTTTAGGTGACTTAGGACACCTAAAATAATATGCACATAGTGTCATGCTATATTGTTCAGGGAATCATGATAAGAAAACAGGTCATTCCATGCTCAGTACAGATCAGTTCTTTCCTCCAAACAGTTCTGATTCATAGTTGGTTGAAGCCATAGATGTAGAACCTGCAGATACTCCAGCACAAGGCGGCCCCCAGGATGGTCCTCTCCACGTGGCTGGAAGTTGGTGCTCTGGGTCTTGCGGGGGCGCTCTCACCTGAGATCACTATGCACTGGTTTACACGCTTCCTCAGCATGGTGTAGAAGGCCATGGCGGTCAGCGCAAAGATGCACCGCTCCAGCTTGCCCAGCTGCTGGTTTTCCTACATCTTTACATACTTGGGGGTTGTAGATCTGGAGGAACTTGAAGGAGTTGATGGCCACCAGGATGCTCCTCGTGTACATGTAGATCTTCTGCTGCAGGAAGCGGTGCACGAGGTTCTTCAAGAAGTTGTCCTTGGGGAAGGTTGCACAGATTGTCAAAGTCCCTTGTCCTTGGGGAAGGTTGCACAGATTGTCAAAGTCCCCTTGCTGTTGCGACAAGAGGCCGCGCTCCACCAGGCGCCAGGTGGCCGTGGCCTGCCTGGGCCACGAGCTGCATGTGCATGTACTTGATGGTCCCGTCTGCATTGCGCTCTTGCAGTGGGAAGTAGTAGGTGTCCTCCTGAGGGTAGTAGGTGTCCTCCTGAGCCCGCCAGGGCCACAGCAGCATGTGGTGCAGCGGTGAGTCGTTGGTGCCCAGCACCCACTCCTCCTGGACCTTGACTTCCACCAGCACTTAGCACTGGGTGCCCATCATTCGCAGGTTGGCAGTGGTATCCTTGATGACATGATGTGGTCAGACGAGATGTTGTCCTTGATGGTGGTCATGTAACAGGAGGCTTGGCCCTCGGTGGTGGACAGCGTGGGTAGATGTGCAGGTGGTAAGCTGCCTGCTCCTGGCGGCCGGAGCTGCTCTCCTCTTGCACACTCATCTGGTGGGCCTCCTCACTTCAGCATGCCTCCCAGGCTTCGGGCGAGCATGTCCTGGAGCTGGCCCTAGGCGGCCACAAGCTAGTCCTGTGCAGGGTCTCTGCCTGGACACCCGCCAGCCCGCCCGCCGCTTCTCCAGCAGCTCCTCCTCGTCCCTTTTTGAGACAGGGTCTCACTAAGTTGCTGAGGCTGCCCTCGAACTTGTGATCCTCCTGCCTCAGCTTCCTGAGTTGCTGGGATTATAGGTGTGGGTCACCACATCTGGCCCGGAGATTTTGATTCCATGATACCCATCAAACATGTTTCCTCTATTCTAGGGCTACTCTCATCAAAAAGATCTTACTTAAAATTCCCAAAGTACCTTTTCTGGCCACTAGTTATCCAGCTCATGTCCTTGGCTCTGGAGGGATAAGATTCTTCTCTAGAAAATCAGGACTAATCTCCTATGGGTCCCTAAATCATGACCCTTACACTTACCCTCCTAAGCTGTGACACACAGATGAGCCTGCTTACCTTCCTTGCTTGGGGACATGGTCCTAGCTTTGGCTTGGATGAGGAATCACAGAATGTTGAAGATGGAAGGATGATAGAGATTAAAGCCCTGGCCCACATTGGGGATCAGTCTCCTTAAAACCTCAGGGGGGCTGTCCTTTCTTTTTATTGCTTGAGGACCACAGTGGCTATCAGGACTTCTGCTTATTCACTGAGCACCTAAAATGTATATATTCTTGATGAGCACTAATTATGTAGCCAGTATTGCATAAAAGTTTTACTATCTCACATGTTCCTTAAAAGAATGAGGTAGATACTATATCTATTTTATAGATCAGGAAGTTGTGGCTCAGGAATTTTCTCTTATTTATTCTAGATCCTAGAGCTGATAAGGTCTAGGATCAGGAATGAAACCCAAGTCTGTGCATGGAGCCCAAACCCCAGGTATGGCAGAAAGGAGGTGAAACACCATCTCCCTTGGCCTCCCCAGCTGCAAGACTGTGGGGGTGAATATCACCATGGTAATGATGACATGAATCAGACTTTAGAGAGGCAAGATCATTGGGCAAGAAGGGCAGGAAGATTAGGTTGCTGATACCCCTGACCTGCCAGCTCTCAGCCTGCACCTGGCTGCATCCTGGAAACTATCCAGTCACACCTAGGCAGGTGGCCTGCCCCTCCTCCCTGGGTTGAGGAAGCAGGAAAAGGTGGTGGTGAGAGGCAGCGGGCAGGTCTGCTAGGCAGTGGTGATCAGCGCCCCAGCTAGGATGAGCTCTGTGAGGGGCCTGGTTCTGCCCCTTCTTTTCTTTTGCTGGGAGAATGGAGTCTTGGGAAGTTCTGCAGGTAAGGAGGGGAGAGGGGCTGTATGAGCTTCTTCCCCTGCAGTGTTCTGGGAGTGAATTTCAGTAGAAGCATTGGGAGTGGGTGAGGGTAGGCTCTTTCATGAGTTATAATTAACCAGAGGCTATATGGGAAGTGTGATTATTGTTGATAATGAATATACAAATGGCAGTGTGTGTCAGCCATCACTGTAAAAGGGTCTTTGTAAATTTGTCTTTATGAATGTGGCAGTGTACATGGGATGGTGGTGGGCGGGGGACAGAAGGTGTCAGCTGATGATAATTCTGTCTAAAGTTGAAGAATGTGACTTAAGAGTCGGACACTTTTGTTACTTAGCATAGATTTCCTTCAAAAATGTGGCTTTTGTGTGAAAAGCCTGACTGTCACAAAATTCTTGGACAGAAGAGGCTGGGCTTTTATGGTAGAAGAGAGTTAACACTAATCTGTCACTGACAGGCACTGTGCCAAGCTCACTAGATACATTTAAAAATAGACTTCTTAAAAAGCAATTTTAAGTTCATAGCCAAATTGAACACAGCAAACATTTCCCATATACCCCTGTGCCTATCATATACAAACTCCCCATTATCCACATCCCACGCCCACATTGACATGTAATCATCATACATTTTTTTCTTAGTCCTCAGAATAACCCTGTAAGATAGGTACTAGCCTTATTTCCACTGTCACCCTTTATTTTATTATTAATTAATTAATTATTCTGGTTTTGGGGCTTGAACCCAGGGGCACGCTACCACTAAGCTACATGCCTAGTCCTTTAATATATTTTTTTTGAGACAAAGACTCACTAAGTTGCTGAGACTGAACTCAAACTTAGGATTGTCCTGCCTCAGCCTCCTAAATAGCTGGAATTACAGATTGTACCCCCATATCAGGCTCACCCTCACCCCTTTAAAAGCAAGGAGACTGAGGCTTACGGGGATTAAGTAATTTATTCACAGAGCCAGGAAGTAATGTCACATGTGCCTAACCACTGGACCACACTGACTCCCACATGCTCTCAGACCACCAGGTTTGTGCTACATATTCCACTTCACTTCATTTAATCCTTACATGAACCCCGTGAAGTATGTGCTCCGAGTCTCATTTTATGAATGAGAAAATGCAGGCTTGGAGCTGGGAGATGTGGCCAGGAACACGCAGCAGAGCAAGCAGAAGAAAGAGGACTCAGATCAGGTTCCAAAGTCTACCCTTTCCTCTCCATGTGCCTGGTTGAACAGAGTGGGAGAGTTGCAACATTCTAGAGCCCTGGAGAGTTGAGTAGGTTTTGCTCTGTTCCGGAAAACAATGGCAGGAAAGAGGCTCAGGATGGGGCATCCCCAACTCTGGAGATAAAGAGGCCTTGGGTTTGAGGGGGATGGGGAGGTTTCATAGCAGACATGACAACCCCAAGCTTCCTGGAAACAGTAGACAATGTGCCAGTGGAGGTTGGGGGTCAGACTGCAAGACAGTCACCACCACTGAATGGGCATCTGGCTGTGTGGATTGGGCAGTAAGGCTCCGCTTCCTTTTCATGGGGACCAGCCAGGAGGCTCAGGGAAATAGCTCAGGCTTTAAATTGGAAGAAGAAAAATTTAAGACATCAGACTGGCAGTTCCTGTGTAAGCATCATTTCTGTGAGCAGCTGGGCTGAGTGGAATAGATAATGAGTGCATGTCCCCATGGTCCATCCAAAGTGCATGTGGGACACAATCTGAAATCCCCAGTATTAAGCCAGGCTGTGTACTTTCAGGTCACTCCTTAAGGGGACCCAATGGAGATGTTCCACACCTCTTGCAGGCTTCGGAATATCAGAGCTCTCCCATGCACCTCCTTCCTTGGTCTTGGTTGCTGTGGCATGGTGGGTGTTATGACCATCTTTCCCCCAGGTGAAGATATGAAGCCTGGGAGAAATCCATCTGGAGGACAGGCTAGCTACTAGGAGGCAGCTGGGATTTCAATCTGTATATCATCTGAGCAAATAAGTAGCAGTCTTGGGGCTGCAACACAGTCTCTTGACTCCTGCTCTGTCACTCACGGAGGTCCAAGGGAGGATGAGCCAAGGACCTGATACCCTGCTTCACCCACCACATGGAGAGTCTGCGCCTCTCCTTGCACTATGTTTGGGCTAGTGGATCTCAGTAAAGACATCTTAAAACATCAAAATGCCAAAAAAGGTTGTTTCTGTTTAGATTCTTTTCCTTCCAAGAGTAGGATTGCCAGATGAACCACAAGATAGTTGGTTAAATTTGAATTTCAGGTGATGAAATTTTTAAAGTATAAGTATGTTTAAAACATTTCATGAAAAATACTTATACTAAAAAATTATTCACTCTCTCATATAGTTAAAAAAGTTACTCATTGTTCATCTGAAATACAAATTCAAATTTAACTGTATATCTTATATTTTTACTTGCCGAATCTGGAAGAGCTACCCAAGAGCAGTGGGTTGCCTGGCCCACTCACACAGAGAGCCCTCCGCTTGAGTAGGCAGGAGAGGCACCTTTCTCAGGCCATAAAAGATACTGATACTGGCCAGATCTCCACTGCCATGACCTCAGAGGGCCCATGAATAGGCCTGCTGTTCTACAGGGAAGTTCTAGCAGCTTCTCTCTAAAACATTAAGCTTTGCCTCACTGGATTCCCTGTGACATGTGGAAGATGCTTGGCCCGTTGGCCCATTGCTTCTGTAGTTCTGGGGTTCCAACCCTGCAGTTCTCAGGTCCACCTTGGGAAGAGCCTTGGGCAGGGATGGGAAGTACTCTCCTCCCTTGCTGAAGACCCAGGGACTCTGCTGCTGTCCTTGCTTTTGAAAACAACATGCCCTACATTCACACAGGAGCTTCTTCTTCCCCAGTCCTCCCAGCTACCTTTATAGACAGAAACCACAAGTCTTTCTTGTATTTTAAGAAAATACTTCCAGCTAGATGTGGTAGCACATACCTGTGATCCAAGCAATTTGCTGAGGTGGAGGATCTCATGTTTGAGGCCATCCTCAGCTATTTAGCAAGGCCCTAAGCAACTTAGTGAGACTCTGTCTCAAAAAATAAAAAGAGATGGGCATGGTGGCACACGCCAATAATCCCAGAGCTGGATGTATAGCTCCATGGCAAAGCATTCCTGAGTTCAATACCCATTCAAAGAGAAAAAGAAAAGAAAATACTTCCATGGGGAAACACTTTTGGATGAGAAAATATTCATGGGAAAACGACTAGGATTCTTTCAGAAATTTCTGAGAGTCCTGCTCCCTGCTCTGTAGTTGTTGGCTCCTGTAGATTTCTGCCTACTTTGTCCATCTTTGAAGGTAGATCCTGGCCACGCACCATGCCTCTGATGGCCAAAGATCAATAATCAGCTCAGATACTAGGGCTTGCTGGCCTCAGGTGTGTCATCAGGGCTTCAGAAGCCACTGGTCAGGGTAACCCCAGCTCCATGATTCCCTCATGGGACTGGGCTCCCCAGTACTGCCTCCTTCTTCCTCATTACATAGATGGAAAATGAGGTAACAATTACCCCACCTCTCCTGGCAGTGTCCAGGGCATACACATAAGAGCTTGTCTGAAGCCGGTCTGTTGAGACTCAAGGTTCACAAGGTTGGTCTTCCTCAACACAGGCCCCAGCACCAGTAGAACAGTCCCTTTGGTGACATCAAACAACAGAGTAGTGCCTACTATGACTCAGGGGGTCAGGACAAGCTCAGAAGAAGGCTTCCAGACCCTTGACCTCACTGAGACTTCAACACAAAGCCATGTTTCTTTGAAAACTCAAACCCTGAGCACCAAGACACTTTCCAAGAACTTAATCCCAGTTGGCACCACTTCAAAGGTAGAAAGCAGGGAGGCCCAGACCATGTCCCCTGCCATGGAAACCAACACCCTCACAAAAGTAAGAGCTTCCAATTTCAGGGCTGTGGTCACCTCCCCTGTGGAGACTTCTGTCATGAGCAGCAGCCCCACAGGCACTGGAACCACCACAGCTGAGAGAAGTGCAGGCAGTGGTCCCACAGAAGCCATCTTTGATACCCTTTGTACAGATGACAGCTCAGAAGAGACAAAGAGGATGGTGGCTGGCAGCTGGACATCGACCCAAATCTCCCCAGAAGCTGAGAGCTTGTCCTCAGAGAGCAGTTCCTCTGCAGACAGCTCAGTCTCCGTCAATACCACCTCACACATCCTGTCACCTGACGCGGCAACTAGGCCCAAGGCCTTAGTGGCATATAGCATAACTCACATTGAGTTCACCAGGGGCAGCGTCATGAAGATAGAAACAGTTGCCACCATCTCTGGGACCTCAGAGATAGAATATAGCCCCACAGGAGTGCAGGCCGAGCCCACCTCTGAGACATCAGCTCTGTCCACCTCCACTGAGGCCAAGTCACACATCCCCAAGATCACAGCCTCTGCTGAGACCTTGTCAACAGCCAGCACCTCAGAGTCAGCCTCCCCTGACTCCACCCCCGAGGCCCCACTGCCCACCAGTGGCACCACAGAGAGAGAAACAGCAGCAGCCCAGACCCCCACCCCCACCCCCAGTGGAACCTTGGTGGCAGGTGGCACCAGCCCCTGGGAGGAAACCTCAGCCCTCTCTGCTGGGACAACACGCCACTTGGAGGTCTCAGGACCTGGTACACGCTCCACGGATGCTGGGTCAATGGTGGGCACAGTGACTTCCTCTGCTGGGCCCAGAGCCTCCGTCTACAGCTCCTCAGAGGCAGCCACCATCCAGGTCTCCACCCCCTCAGAGACTTTTGCCACAGAGGGCACAACCACGGGGTCCTTCCCCACCAGCAGGAGCCCTCTGCCTTCTGCCCATCCCTCTATAGCCAGTAGCAGCCAAGAGACACACTTCACCTTCAGCAAGGCCACAGCCCCACCAGAGTCCCCAACAGCCACTCCCACCACTGCTCAGACAAGGCAGACCACAGAAGTCCCTGCAGGTAAGTGACTTCCCTGTGTGATCCTTGGGATTGGGGGCTCGGGGTCTCTGGGATGCCTGCATGCTTCAGGAGGTGGGAGGAAGGACGGGTGGGTGGGGGGCTCTGCTGACCCCTCACCAATGTGGCCTCTTTATGGTCCTGGCTCTGCCTTAACAAGCTGAGCAAACCTGGCCCAGTCCCTCTCCCTCTCTGAGCCTCAGTTTCCCCACCCGTAGCACTGGAGGGATTGCACTGGAGGAGCACTGGGGGCCTTTCCAGCTCCAACCTTCCCTGAAGTGAAGTGCTGAGTAACTACAGTGCATGTGGCAAGTTCCCAGCTCTTGTTTAACAGACCTGGTCCTCAGCCTTTGACAGCCTCTGGTCCAGCTTTAGCCACAGAAAGGGGAAGGCTGTGGGTATCTGAGCAGCTGGAACCCTGTGAAAATGGGGCCTGCTGGATGTGCCATAGAGAGTGTCCTGAAATATTAACAAATGACAGTGGGGTGAGGGTGTGGGAGGTCTCAGAGATACAACTCTGTGACAACATGTAATTCTCAGGGAGCAGTCACGTTCAGAGGCTGCTGGGTGAATCCAGTTCCTGGTCAGCCTGCAGCCTCTAGCTCCACTCTTTGGCACTCTGTCCTGTGCCTCTGATCATAACCACTTTAAGGAATACCTTTTGTATGCTACTCAGGGGTGACCTACACATATTTCATGCCCAGTAGGCTCTGGCACCAGCAGTGTCCTCTCTGTCGTCAGGAGGGGTGCTTGAAGCTTTGCATTTGCCTCTAATGTGTCCTCCCAAACAAGGTTGGGAGCTGGGCGACATTACCCACCTCACAGGCGAGGAAACAGGTTTTTAGACGTAGTTAAATTGTCCTAGGAATAAGGCAGGGGGCTTCAGATGAGAGTCAGTGTGACTCCCAAACTTAGGTCTTCCCATTGTGCTTCTAGTTTTATAAGCTTAATTTACTAATATATTTTCCTTACTGTTTGCTGATTAGATAATACATTCACATAACACAAATCCCAAGATATAAAGGGGAGGCCAGAGAGTAAAATAAGAGGATCGCAGTGTGTACATGTATTTATATACTCCTCTTTTACCTAAGTGGAGCCTATGGTAAACTCAAATTTCTCTTCCCCCTCCTCCTCCTCCTCCTCTTCTTCCTCCCTCTCTCCTCTCTCTCTCTCTCTCTCTCTCTCTCTCTCTCTCTCTGTGTGTGTGTGTGTGGTAAGAGCACCTGACATGAGATCTACCTTCAGCAGATTTTTAGTGCACAGTATGGTATTGTTCCCGCAGGCACACTGTGCAGCAGATTTCTAGAACTTACAACTGGCAAAACTAAAATTTTCTTCCCATTGAATAGCAACT